TGTTTCCGTGACATTTGTTTTTAAATAGAAATGGGCAAAATAAATCGGCTTCATCCATGCCTGGTAACCTGACAAAGCTTGCTGATTGACCAAGTGAGATGGCAGGATCCTGTACAGAGAAGTATTATGTATTAAAAGTTGTTCAAGAGCAAGTGCAATGTGACCAATATTATAAGGTACAAATTTGACTAATTTGATGTTCCTGGATGAAATCATTACTGTTTTTTTTATATTGATATTAGTACTTGTTAATGTGACCACACAATGATCAATGCTAGAAACACTTTGTAACGGTGGCAAGCGATGATAACTCCTTTCCTTCCTAACCAAAATATTTATTTTTCAATTTCGTGTTTTAAGCAAGTCTGTTCATTATCTTATTGTTCTGTGTTGAAGTGTGTCCCAGGTTTTGAACCGGGAATTAGATGAACAGAAAATAAAACATGCTCTATCCTGATTGGTTAATGTTGGAACATGAAATGCTTTCAGGGATAATTGTTGTTGTTAGGATAACGATAGGTCGAAACTTCAGAGTCCGTTTTCCGAGACACCCTGTCCATTGCTTTGTAAATTATAGTGTGGTAGTTTCTATATATCTAATGTTGGTTTTCCACACACATAAAGCAATCGTTGCACTTGCTGATATATTTATGTTTAAACTGCGCATTATGAGACAATGCTAGAAACGTACCTGATGTGTCTTTATATGGAACCAATATATAGAGGACCTATCGACATCCGAGACAACCCAGTCTGTATATCAGATTACTACACGTGTATGGAATGAAGGGTATGAGACAGACAGGCCATGCTTTATCTGAGAAAGATCGCGCTCACGAGCTGTAAATATGTACACAAGAGATTTTCTATCGGTGCACCATTAATGCACATTTTCCATTGATGTCAGATTTAAATTGACATGTTTGTTAAACTGTTCTAAACAGTACTCAAATATATCTCTGTTAGTATCCTCATAACCTTAACACGATTACTGACCCTCATGCAAATGACACATCAGAAGCAATCGCGTACGAAGGCTTATTGTAGTCGGATCAAATAGTTTTCCTAATAGATAGAGTAGTTTCATGAGGATATCATCATTGGTTAGAAAAATTACCCTCTTTTACTGACTGACAAGAACTTCGCTCATAAAGCCATTTAGATATTTCTACATTAATTCAAATATTTGACTTATTGGTTTTGATTCGATCCTTAGGACCGAAAGAGCTTGTCTGAAATACACGACAGTATATAACTGGAAAACAATCTATTGTAGCTATTCTATCACTGGATTTTAACAACATATTTGGTTTTTGGGCACTGTTACGGCAAGGTTAAATCAAAGTTAGGAAATATAAATATAGGTACGTTTAGCTGTTGTCGAAAACTATATAGAAATATTCGAGGTCATTCGTCCATGGGTCCGATGTTGATTTATCATGTTACTATCATTTCAGTATCACTTGGCGGTCAATTTCACGCGTCATAGACTGAAATGTTGGTGACTTAGTCCGAAACATGATCTATTTCAGATCATTTATCATTAAAATGGTTACATTAAGATGTAAAAGTGATATTCCAGAAACACGTTTTTAAGTGCACACTGACCATGCGACCAGCGACCTCCAAGAAACTGATTTTATATCAAGGTCCCTTATGTATAGAACGACCTTTTGGATACTTTAACTTGATCCGAAATTCTGATTATTCATTACATAAAAAATATTAAATTTGGTCTAGTTTTTGAAGTATCCCTTACTCCTATGATATGTCTCCAATTACTTGTTTTGTTTTATACGATCACATGACGAAAATTGTCCTTAGCTTTTGCATCCTTGCTTTGCATTTCATGTACATGTATTCTTTTTTATTAATAATGAAATAACAACTGTAAAAAGTTTGCTGTGATTTTTGCCCCGTGAACAGCCAGGGTCATGAGGTCATGAAGTGGTGTCCCCTGCATCAGCTGATGACTTCCTAAAAAAAAAACATACATGAGATCCGTCTCATGTCATCAAGAGCAATGAAGTACAGTTTCTTGCCCAATAACACACTCACCGAATCACATATCGGCCTGTGTCTCGGCCTCCAGCACAAAAAATTACGAACATCGAAAAATGCGCCTCAGATCTTCACCCGAGGTCACTTAGGCTAATGTTTTACCGACCTATCGTCAGCCTTTGTTAAACGAAAAGTATACTAAAGTATAAGCACACGATTTAACTTATACGTGTAAAATGTATTGTTTATTGTGAAATCAACTGTATTAGTGAAATTTACTATCATCAAAATGTCATTTACCGCCACAACCAAACGGCTACGGCACTCTAAAAGTTGCATCTGTGACCACGAGCCAAACGAGGCGAACTTATTCTGGAAACAGTCGATGGATTATGAAATGATAAAATTTCGATACATTAACAGAGGAACTCTATTCGATACGATTCTGCTGATATGTACGTATAGTTTAATAATAACAATGAAGCATTGATAGCTTATGAAGAAATCAAAAACGCAAGTCATTTAAAAAGATCATATGGACTATCAATCATATTTACTTCCCGAGGTGAAGTTACTTTTAAATCAAAATATATCAACTATCTCAATTCATTTGATTTCATAATTCACGTTTCAATTGATTTATTCTAATTTTGTCGAACTTGCTACGCAAAGTCATTAGATACCTTGACCTTAGGGCGTTGCTTCTCTGTGAACCTGTAAATGACTTTTCATTTTTTCTGAAAATACACTTAAGTATAGAAAACTCACTATCAACGACATCGCATTTCAACAAAAATGCAATTTTTTCATGCATTATTGACAAATCCATATGTTAATATTAAGGATACATGTTTGTCCAATCAGATAGAAGTAAGTTTAAAAACTGACAGAATCGTAAGATTCATTGGAAGATATCGCTTACGAGCACTCAGGATCAATCATTAAACCTTAATTTTGACAAATATGGTTATGTACTTTTGTAGCGATGTTTTCCAGATTCACCTCAAAATAAACATTTGATATGTTTCAACTCCTGGTTAAAGGGACATCACGGTTAAAAAAATTGTCGTTATTGTTGATCGTATGTGTTTATACACTTCCAGTAACATTTCTATGCTATCCCAATATTTACAGTCGATTTCCAATGTCCAGCTTGACCATTTCTTTGGTTCGGGAGACCCCTCTCAAACTTAGCGCTGATAACTTTCCGTAATGGTTTAGAAAACGATGCCGTTCATTTTGTAAACAAGAACACATGATGGCGGTCAGAAATGACTTGGACAGTAGTGACATAGTCAGTAATACCGTTTTACAGCTCCGGATTTGGTTGTGGTTGTGGCAAATGTTATTTGATAACTCTAAGTCAATCCAGAATTACGCAATAAGTAACATTAACCGCAAATCGTTTCAGGCGGGAAGCCATGTTTGTTTACAGGCATGCTTTATCATATATGACACATACATTGATTTCTTTTGAAAGTTTTAAAAAGAAAGCAACAAGTATTTTCCTCGGATACTTGTTCTAACCAGAAATACTTTTATTTAAGTCGCTGATATGACATACATCCTTATATATTGATTGCTACGAATCAGTGACCGTGTGAGCACATATTCTTGGTTATAAATGGTTCATGTTTGCAGCGGCGTTTGTTATATGTCTGATCACAGATAATCTTTCATGGCTACAAACGATGTTGGTGATGATGATAATGATAAAATATTCTTAAATAAATGAATAAACAAACAGATGAATAAAAAATTTGTAAAGGTAAATGATCGACTTTAACTAATATTATATAAACTTTAATTCATTTATATGAAAAATGCTTGGACATTATTACATGTTTAAATTAATAATCAGTATATTACGTACTGTTGATATATATATATATATATATATATATATATATATATATATATATAACGCAATATATAGATATGATATTGCGTATTAACTTCGTTTTATATTGTTACATCCGACTTTCTAAGTCAATGGTCACATTGTCGATTTAATTTTGTATGTATATTAAGAGAATGTCTACAAGATGTTCCCTACGTTATTTTTGTTTGACATTACGCAAGGATTTGTTTCTGTCTTAATAGAATGACGGAAAGATCAGAACAGTTCCGAGTGGAAAACATTAACGTATAATTAGCGTTTGATTTGAAGTAAATATAATTCTGATCCCTGATAGTTCTGAGGCTTTAACACAGAGCCTTGCAAACAATATAATAAATGTTACTTTATGTTCCCAAGAGAAAAATAACATAAACAAAACGACAATGAAAAACATATTCTTTATGATAATGCGTGATTTATAAATTTATGATCCACACATGTCAATATCCGTGTTTGTAAATACGATATGACCATTTATAAATAGCCAACACCTACAAGATAAAACAAAGGTGTGTGACGCTAACACGAATCACAGACGTTAATGACGGAATGTAGGTATATTCATTATCTATCGGATGATAGTGTTGAATTCCACACTATTCATCTCACTGAATTGTTCTCCGCTGAAACGACATAATAATTTATTAATATTAAGAAATCAATGTTATCATAATTTGTATTAATTATTTTATAATAAAACCGAAGCTTAGAGTACTATATAGAAACACAATACTAAAAAGAAAAATACAAAAATACTGAAATCGCATCAGTAAGGTATAATTATTAGGTGATCCTCGCTGTCAATCATAAATTTATAATCACACCTATGTCGGCATGGTCTAAGTATGCGGATATTCAATATATATCTATAGACCTTACCTGTATAACTTACCTGTATGACGAGCCCCGCGTCTGTATTATTTTCAGGTGAAGTCCGAGTGCGTCAAGATCGTATCCGCATTGTGACTGTTATAACAACCAGCATACCAGGACAGGAGCACATTCGGTGTTACCATCTACAACTGACAACATGTAAACGCACGCTTCAGACTCTACATATATCTTAAAACAGGAAAACAAAACAGACGACCTTAAAACGATGAATATTTACTTGTTACTGCTGTGTTTTCTCCTGTGCGAGAGCCACTTGCATCACGAAGGTAAGTGTGTTATTTCAAGCTTTCTATCGCTGGTGTCATATTCATACTATTATAATGAGGGTTTTATACATTGATGACGTTTTGTGACCCATAATTAATCTAATATTAGCATTTATTCTGTTATGATATTGTATTTCATACTATATTTGATCTTGATCTGAAGAGATGTTGTTTCTATAGGCTGTGATCATCTCCAACACCTTCCCATGCTGCCAATACTACTGCTAATGGCTTACCTCTCCATCACTTACTATCGTCATTTTTACCTCTACACAATAATCACTTATTGTTTCACAACTAATATATCTCTTTCTTACTTCCTACCAAACCTGACACCTGACTTACCCTTCAGGGGTCGTATCCACAAGAATTAATTTTCTGCTTTTTATTTGTTTTTTTCTTACCAAACCCCAATCCTACTTTCTCATTAAAAATAAACCAACCACTCCTAACAAAATCATCACCAAGTCTTCCCCATGTGTATAATACTTCCCTACTACAACCCTACCTACCATTTGTTTCCCAGATATATAATTCACCTCCCCTCCCTACCCTACCTACAAGTTGTTTTCAGCCTCCTCTACCCAACCAACTGGCTTTTGTTTGTTTTTTAAGATATACATTTCTTTCGTTCCCTCCCCTGCCCCTACCTACCGTTTGTTTTCTAAATAGGCAGCCCTCCTCTACCCTGCCACTGCCTTATGTTTGATTTTAAGATATACATTTCTCTTCCCTGTCCTGTCCCTACCTACATAGATGTACAACCCGTCTAATCCCCGCCTAATGTTTGTTTTTCTGATGTACACCTCTCTTCTCCCCCTCACCCCTACCTATTGCTTGTTTCCTAGATCTATACCTCTCCTCCCTCTCACACCCTACCTACTGTTTGATTCCTAGATGTACAACACTTCTCTCTCCCGCCCTTACCTATTGATTGTTTCCTACATTTTAAACCTACCTCTCTCCCCGCCCTTACCTACCGTTTGTTTCTTAGACATACACATTTCCTCTCCCTAGCCCCTGCCTACTTTGTTTCCTAGATGTACAGTTCTACCCCACTCAGCATTAAAGAGTAACCTGTAATAACTATAAGAGTAGAATAATCTTACCATCATATACTAACATTTTGTTTAACGGACTTGAACGATTCAGTAATACTATCAGTTATACCGTACCTCTGTAATGACAATCTGATTCTATTACGTGTTGAAAAAGTCAGTTAAACATTAAATGTATATGATATTAATGGGTTTTCAATGTGCTGTTCTGTAAGCGATTGATAACATTTGTATATTTAATGTTACAGAGAGTTCAGTAGTTCAGAGAGTTGATGGCTGGTACAACAACTTTGCTCATATAAACTGGGGCGGAGCAGGTAATAAAAACATACTAAAACGACTCTAACAAAACCTGCTCAGGGTTACGATATCAAAAATAATATTGAATGCTTTATCTGTCTTATAGAAATTACATAAATTACATATACATAACACGGGTTTAAAAGCATGTTGATACTAGTAATACATGTGAATCCAATTTTGCGACAAAGAAAAATTGCATAATATTTTATTACACTGAATTACAAAATAAATGATTGAATTCAGGTGAGCCCCTACTGCACAATATTACAACGGCATATACAGATTTCACTTACCAAGCTCCCAACAATGGACTCCCGAGTGCCAGAGAAATCAGTAATGCACTGTTCAGACAGAATATGTCTATTAGCTCCGGGGGTTCATACCATAACAGATCAGCACTCTTCGCGTTCTTTGGTAAGTAAAGTCAGAAGTAAGCGTTTTATTTCTTTTAAAAAAAGTTTACGGTACGATTACATATATCACTCTTAAAAATCATCTTAAGTATAAGAAGTACATAAATACCAGATTTTCATATGATGCATTAGCTTTTACAATAGGAACTAAAATATCAACGTATTTTTTAATGTATTGCTTGTAAACCCTGCTAGGTAATACTATATAAACAGAAAATCTTTATTTTTGTCTATTAAAACATCAAGGCCAACTGGTGGACTTTGAACTCACGGATGTTGACGAAACGACCTGTCCAGTAGAACTCTTGTCCATCCCTGTACCAAGGTGTGACCCGGATTACGATCCCACTTGTTCCGGGACGGTATCTATGCCTTATGAAAGAGCAGCATATGATAAAAAGAGTGGTCAGACCCCTAACTCCCCCCGTCAGCAGGTATGATTTATTTGTAGTAGATGGTGATACTTACCTCTCCTTGTCATAAGTATGATTAAGTAGATAAGCAATATCTTCCTTTTCCTTTCACAAATGAATAAATATAATTGACTTAAATTTAGTACTGACTTTGACCCTCCAGCTAAAGGGTATGACCTACTTATCGCGTGTAGACACGTACATCTCCCCTCCCGTCACAGGTAGGAATTGCTTTCATTGGGAACAAAACAACTAATTGACCAGGAAACAGGATAGTCTAGTTCTAAATATTTTGCGCCAATGATAACTATATATGCATTGTTGTAATTGACCAATGAATAGACAGACAAAATGTTCTGGTCAACGGGTAGGTTACATGACGTATTTTTATAAGCGATCTCTAGATATCCTGGTTAACAGGTAAGATTCGCCTACACTAAAGGCTGACTCCTTACTCCAACGGTTGAGAAATTGCGGTTACACACTTAATAAAATACTAATAGAGACATCTATCAAAAGATCATAAGAGTTACTTATGTTTAAACGACTTGGTCAACCCTGAAACTTTACACTGCATAAATGAAGTCCAGAAATTGAGTTCCTGTACATGCAGCAGATGACCTTTTATTATAACATGACTTCAAAATAATAATTATAAAATAGGTGGTCTTAAGAGTACGCCAACGTCAGTGTTCTACAAACTCTTTGTGCAGGCGGACTTTAGATAAGGTTCCGCTTACTTCAAAAAAGTTCAAATGTGGTCCCCTATTGCACGTGTCCTCTTCATAAGGCTACAAAATAACCACACTATAGCAGGTGGCCTTTTGATAAGGTTCCGATAACTTCCAAGCACTATAACATATAGAGTCTGTGTAAGAACATGCAAAAGTAAAATTCCGACATGTTTAATATTTTTGCTTTAGCAGGTGGTCTTTAGATAAATTATGATTTCTTCAAAATAACCGGAAAACCTCAATCAGCAATACTTCAGTTACCACAATCTCCTTTACTATATACTGATTTATACATCTGCTGACAGTTTGAATGGGATACCTTTACTCTGTAATGTTAGCCAAGCTAATACACTTTACGCTATTGTATTATAAGGTCATTGTATTATAATTCCTGAGGAATTCTTATTACATCACAACGACCTTTTCCACAGACGACAACTTATAAGGTGACAACTGCTTGATAGCACTGTGTCAAGGTCAACGTCTAGCCAAGAGGCAATAAACGACTTTTTAATGGAATACTTAAAAGCTTTTTCTGTAGAAAGACTTGGGGTTGAAACAACAATATTTACATTATAGATAAATGCTGCCACAAGCTTCATAGACGCAGGCTTTGTATACGGAACCAATACAGTACGGGCTTCATTTCTTCGTAAAGAAAAAACAGCTTTTCTAGCATCTGGTGATAAATGGCAAAAATTTCCGGAAGACAATGATATTGGAGTGCCGTACAAGGCATATCCATCCGTTCATCACAAGATAGATAACCCCCTGACACTATGGAGTAAGTAAACATTACACCTTTTCCAAGAAACTTGTTGTTATCAGTGAAATTTAGTGTGTACATCAAGGAGACATAAAACATATATTCTAAATATTGCAATTAGTAATGTCTCATCCAAAACGTTACAACAACAATTTGCATTCAAAGTAATTTCAGAATAAGGAATGTATCATACACTCTCATTTCATTATTTCGCTGTGGAAATAAGGAGTACAAAATGTTGACTAGAAAAACACAACGTAAATTTCATTGAATATATGTATCTATAACGATACCATAATGATAAAAAATATCAGTACAGATCGACCAATGTACATAAAAATTATGTTAATATAAAACTTTTCTTTGCTCTCAGAGCTAGGTGATAAACATGTCCATGAGAATCCCGCCGTTCTCTCCCTTGGGGTGCTATTTCATAGATGGCATAACATTCTAGCTTTAAAGTTTACTCGAGAAAACCATGAAAACCTCGCACCTGCTGATATTTTTGCAAAATCAAGAAAATGGGTGATTGCCACGTTACAGGTAAGTTATACCATCATTGTAGTTTTGACCACTTAGGAAATTCAATATTTTGGCGATAGTGACAGATATTGCTATTAATTATTTAGACACAAAATAGTTTATTCATCGTTGTCAGCCGTGATCCGAACTTTTCGTGACATTTAAATCAAAATGTGAAAAATGTAATAAAATATTACCAGATTATATACAACGTAGGCATTTGTAAATGAACACGTTTTACAATACGTGATGCGACAGTTTTTAAAGTTTCTTTGGCCTTGATGTGTTTGTAGTCGATATTAATACAATGTAAGTCCTTTTCTTAACATGACTTCTTCATTCCACGTACTGTTTGTATTACTATGGGTAAAGTTTTGATATATGATCTTCGTGTTGGAATATCATGATTTTTGTCTGTGTGTCACGAGCTTTAATTGTTTTTTCAGAATATCATTGTCTATGAGTGGTTACCGAAGCTTATGAAAGCAAAGTTACCGCCATATGAAGGTAAACCACACGTCAATTATCAATAAAAGTATGACTACATTTTAGATAAAAATTTCGACTAAAAGAACAAACTTTGAGAATGATATTGAATATATATTGTATTAATGATATCTTGGTACATGAGCAGAACTGGGTATAAAAGTAGTATTTTAGTACTACGGTATAAAAAGAATCAACAAAACCAAGTGTAAAAGTGGTGTTTCATTTTGATAATTTCATACTGATGGATGCAATGCGTCCACAGAACCGGGTATAAAAGTAACATGTTACTTTTTGATGTTATTAAATTGCAGGATATAAAGCGTCCATAGAACCGAGTATAAAAAGTAACATTTTACTTTATGATTTTATTTAATTACAGGACATAAGGCGTCCACAGAATTGGGTATAAAAGTACATTTAGTATTTTTAAATTACAGGATATAAGGCTTCCACAGAACCGGGTATAACCGCAGTGTTTGATGCTGTGGCACTTCGATATCTTTTGACGTTGATACCTGCGGCAATTTATCAGCGGTACGTACTCCGTCAAAACGTTGTAACAATTCTAACCAGAATTGTACTTCTTTCAATATCATTGTATGACTTAAATGGATTAAAGGCTGTAAGTCATGATTCGGTTTTTACTTTCCAAATTTTGTTGTATTTCTATTAAGAATGTGTTAGGAAAAGCAACATCAACAAAACATTCTTAGCATGATTTTAGTTTTGGTTACGAAATAAACATGACAATAATACACTCTTATATACCCCAAATAGAATACATACGAATTGTGAAATATAACTTACATTTAACTCTTCTTCTAACAGTGAAATGGACAGCTGTGATCATAACGACACTGATTTCGTCCGCAGTGCTCTGCGTCTCTGTAATACCTACTTCGGATCACAGGTTCGTGTTGCAATAAATAAAATGTCGTTGAAAATTCATATAAATATTCTTGAAATTATGATATCGTATCACCACAACAAAACAGGAAACGTTTGTAACGGATTTTAAACATTAATTTGAACTGTCGAAAATATGCATATAAATGATGTGTTTTAGTTTGTGTTACAGAATATTCTTAATGAACGTGAAGATGGTGTAGAAGACACTCTACTCGGCCTTGCTAATCAACTGTGTGAACGGGAGGACATTAAAATCATAGAAGATATACAAAGTTATTATCGTTATTATATAACATGATATAATAAAACGAAATATTTGTTCTGATATTTGATTTATAATTGTTTGCCTGTTGATGCAGGAGTAATTTTGTTTCGGTGATTGTTTACATTATGGGTTGCTCTCATTTGTAAAATTTATTTATATAAGTATAATGAGCAGATGTAGAATCGTCTAAGTCCCTAAACAGCTCATATACATGTGACAGTGTCTTGTTTGCCATGTCTATTTGTGTTGTCTTAGCTTTGCTGTTTGTACCTGACTGATGTGTTTCTGTATGTAGTGAGTGTTATTCGTTCTATATTTTCTGTAGCTAATATCCGTGACTCAACATATGTTTTATAATCTTGACAAATGATTTAATGAAAAATATTGTTTAATTGATTAATTTCCATGTTAGCAGTTTGTCAAAAGTTCCGTTACTAAACATTTTTATGAAAACGAAAGTTTTATTTTACTTGATCATTGCTCATACTTATGATGGAATTCTGTACAATGTGTTATATGAATTATAGGTAAATGGTTTGGACCCCTGCATTTTTCACGTCAGGACCATGTGGCGCAGACAATTATGAGAGGACGTGATTACGGTCTACCGGACTACAACACCGTTCGAAAGGAGCTGGGACTGCAACAAATAACGGAATGGGGAGATATCAATCCCGCACTCAATAGCACAAATCCCGAGGTTAATATACATAATTGTTTCTTCTACCTTAAAGGAGGATTTGAACAAAATGTATATATGGGCATTTATGTTTATGATTTTAGACTGAATTTTATAGATACTTGATAGCAGTAAAAAAGTATTTGATGTTTTAGCAGAATCGTAGATGTAAACGTATGTGCCAATTTAGTTTAGATTGGAACCCGCTGTTTATTCATAAGATCGAATGATGAAAATGCACATTGTTCGACTAGTTTATGACGACATCTGTAGAGTTACTCAAGTTATAAGATCGACGAATGGAAAAACGTGATGAAGAGATATAAAGAAATTGTTTTGATATCAATAAAAATAATGAAAATACAAATACAAAATTTCAGGTGTTCGAGACATTGATGAAATTATATGGCGACATAAATACCATAGACCCCTTCGTTGGAGGTATGTTAGAGACAACACTGGATGGACCAGGTCCAATGTTCACGTCCATTCTCGTTGACCAGTTCACAAGGATCAGGGACGGAGACCGCTTTTGGTTCGAGAATAAGCAATCAAAGTAAGGCACTGCAAATGCTGCGATTTATTTACCTCTAATAAACACAAGAACTGTGAATATATGGCGATTATATCAGATAACCATGGAGAACACACTGGTAGTTAAGTTAAAAAAACAACAATAATTCATTAATATCGCAGTAAAACAATAGATATAAAATTGCATTAAGCTGACACAACAATACTTGTGTTTTTACCAGTTTCCTACTTCTGGAAATCTGACATTGATTGTTTAGAGGTAAAATATTACTAGTATTAGGTTGGCTTCAGTAGTGTTCAGAAGAAGATATGTTTCAGAGGTTTTACATCTCCGTCTTGTAGGCTATTCAAACCAGAGGAAATAGAGGAAATCAGGAAAATAACACTCTATGATGTCATTGTGAAATCAACAGAAATAAACGAAGATGACCTACAAAAGGACGTTTTCAATGTGAATGGTATGTATTTTTGTCAAATTCTATTATATTACGATTGTAGAAATGCTTTTCTGTCTTCAGAAAGCAATTGTCTTCATGAACATTATGATTTATATCACGCAAACACATTATTTTAGTTATCTTGAAACAGCTTTATCACTATGTTTTCTATAAAACACCCATAAGATATTCAGTAAGAAAGTAATAAACTGTTTATCGATTGTCTCTTAAGCAGATACTAAGTCAGATTATAACAACTGAAATACAATAAAATATTTTCGACTTGATTTTAGTTGTTTCAGACATAAATATGGAATGTATTACGTCTATCCTGTTATATGTGTTGTTTGTGTATGTTAATAACATGTCACCGTCCGTATGTCCTTATGTAGATGTTGGTATCATCAGATTACATCGTGCGACAGCATCTGTCTGTCCTGTGTAAGATATATCCTTTTGTATATGATATTACCATTATAACACTGTGTCCGTCTGTCCTTTTGTGTAAGATGAATCTCCTTGGATATGGTGTTACCATTATATTACTGCGTCCGTATGTCCTAATGTGTAAGATGTATCACCCAGAATATGGTGTTACCATTATATTACTGCGTATGTTCTGTGGAATATTTCTCCCTCTGTATGTGATGTTTCATCACAGCGACAGTCTGTCCTTCTGTGTAAGATTTATCCCCCTGTAAATTATGTAACCGTTACATTACAACATCCGTCTGTCCTCCGGTATCAGATCTCTCCCTGTATATGATATTTTATAACAGCGTCCGTCTGTCCTCATCTGTAAGATATTTCTTCTTGTATATTGTGTAAGCTCTATACCTCTGAATAGGATGTCTTATAACTGCATCCATCCGTCCTCATGTATAAGATATACCCCCAAAACATGGTGTTATTATATCACATACCCGTCTGTCCACACTTGTAAGGTCACTCCTATTGTTTATGATGTTACCATTACATTACAGCGTCCGTCTGTCCTCCTGTGTTTGTCACTATCGATATGATAGATGAGTGTAAAGGACATCAAGGATACGACTACTTTGCCGGGAGTGAAATCAGTTTTATCATTATTTGGTCATGCTTCGGATTAATACCACTGAGTAAGTCTTTGAAGTTGAAAACATGACATCCCATTCATATGCCTAATAGACTTATTAAGATAAAAACTTTAATTCATATCTCCACTCCATTCCGTGTCTCTGACTTAATATCAAAACATAACGAAGATCTTGTTGTCTAGACTGTTAACGAACATACATGTACCTTAGTACCTGGCACAGATGTATGGATTATATTTTGATGTTTTCCTTCCCTTTTTTTGTTTATCTTTTCTTTTTACCTTTCGTTAGATAGAAAACTCTTTGCCTTATAACGTTGTAGTATGCGTGCTGTCAGCTTACATTGCTGCTAGATGTCGGACATGGAGACACAGCAAGCACGTAAGACGTCAACAAATGAGCAGACAGGCGAAAGATGCCGAATCAAATTCGGAAGGTAATTTTTGATATATGCTGGTTTCTGAAATCGGATCAGTGGCAATGAGGAAGATTGTTACGAATTTGCAGTGATTTAAATAGGATACTTGCATGCGGAAGACTTTTTTCATAAATGTAATGTGTAAAGTTGATTTATTGACTGAATAGTGGATTGGAGTCACATAACCTGGCTGTATAACATCTAAATCAATCAATCAATAAACCACACACCTTACGACATATTACGGTGTTTTGTGCTGCATTATCTCAAATATTGTGTGAGTCGTTCTTCATTCTTTATTTCCTTTCCACCCAGAGCTTCATCATCAAGCGTATTCTATATTGCTTTTGTAGAAATGCAGTCGTTTAAGGCCTTTGAGTGGCTGGGAGAAAAGTTGTCAACACGTCCCGTGATTGTGAAACTCAAACAAAAATGCACAGTAGAGTTGACGAACAGTCGCGGCACAAGACTCCGGACATTAGGCCTCGGTCACTCTTCTGACGTAGAAATCTACAATAGTACAAACAAGGGGCGGACAACGTTGATGATTAAAGTTCCGAAAGAATATGACATGGTAAGATTTGTTTTACATTTGACACGCTAAAATGGAAAGTCTTCGGTTGCTGTTGATATGTTTTCGTATTATTATTGTTTTTGTTGTATTTCACTGAAATTTCAAGATGGATGACGGATACAAGTTTTAAATTGCATTTGCACTAGATATATACAAGGCATCTAATGATAGAATTACAACCAATATGTCCATGAATTGAACAATAATACTTAATTCTTTCAACAAGTTAAGTTTTATTTTAAGACAACTGAATGGCTCTGTTGAACGCAGCCGTTAATATTTCTCAGCAGAGTGGTTTGATAAATGATTCAGTTGCACGATTGGGCACGAGTGAAAAACACCTTCGTCGTAAAATACATTTTACCTCGTTCTCATTGCAGTGTTTACAATTTCAAACATTCACACAGCGTAGTTTGTTCGAAAACGCTCTTTGCGCTCTTCTGGAGAAAGACAGTCGTCAAGCCATCATACACGAGGCCAAGATTAAGCATATCCATATCAACACCTTCACCCAAGTCAAGAGGAACGCGGTGTTGGAGAAATTCTTTAAAACTGTTTTCTCAGAGGTTGTATCTTTAATCAATAGTGTTAATTTTCCGTATGTAATATAAAATATATATCTTAACGAGGAAGAATTATAATTGATACGCCATAAACCTTTTAGATTTGTATGTACATCAGTCGTCAGAATATCTTCTTGGTTACTGACTACTGAATAAAATACATGTACCCTGCTGTGATAAAAATGTATTCGACATAATGATGTTCTACTGACAGGTGTTAGAAAGAACATTGGTAATCATAGAATGCATTAGAGTTTAACAAAATATTGTTTGTGAAAGAAAGATAAAAAATAATCCAATAAACATTAATATTTTTTATTCTATTTTATTATCACTAGGCCTTCCAAATGGATTATGATCCAGACCTTGAAGACAGTGAGAGTGAATCTACCCAGACAGCTGCAGAAATATTGGAAATAGAATTATCAAAGGTATCTCCTTAACGCTCTAATACGTTATACTATCTTCATATGTTTTGGTTATGATGGTAAGATTAATAATATATTACCAGTTAACAGATAATCGACATATATTAGAAACTCTACACTTTGTACTGAAGCTGCTCGTCGTTAATGGCACTATTCTCAGCACTTACGATTTCATATTCATTCATAAAAACTTTTTCTTTCTCTTTTTCTTGTTACCAAAGATATGCTTCTTCATTTTAACCAGGAAGAATTTGCACACGCCCTTGGTATCAAGCCAAGATCTGATTTTGTCGAAAACATGTTCAGTTTGTTGGACTCTGACAGAAATGGCTATATCTCCTACAGAGACTTTCTTACCGCAGTTGTCCTATTTTCTAAAGGTATGATGAATGTAAGATTTTATTCATTAATATGGCCTGTCAACATTGTGTACAATCCATGCTTATGAATATGAATGGAGGCGTATTTGTTATACATATGTAAATCAATTAATTTGAATAGACTGTACTTGTGTACACAATTCTAAAAGGTAGTATACATATATTTTTAACATGGAATCACCACTGAAACTCATTTTGCATCAGTAAATTCACATATCAAACGCAGAACTGAACCAAAGAAACTTTATCTCATAAGGGCAGGCCATATTCACCTATCACAGTATTCAATAACATTCATGACACCTCAAGACGGGATTACCATTGAAATAATCATTTAAATTGGTTTTTTGTTGTCTTATTATATTACTCAGGGATTTTTTTTTTATCATCTGACATCATAAATTATTGTAAATATATCTTCGCTGTCGTTCTTGATATAATGGACATAGAAAAATTAAATGTGTATAAATGAATGAAATTATGGTGCATAGCGTCTTTAAAGTAGCAATCAAATCCACTCTTTTATTTAGACCAGTCAAATAATTTGGTTTGGATAATAACACCGTTATTTAACATTTAGGGTCCTGCCAAGATAAATTACAACTGGTATTCCGTATGTTTGACACCGACTCCTCTGGGTCCCTGGACAAAGCTGCGCTCATCAAAATGTTCAAGTAAGAGATTTTCGTTATATTTTACACATATTGGATACTGGACATGGTATGTGAGTCGCTATTTATTAACACGTTATATGAGATTTGTGACATTGAAATTTCCGAAATATTTACCAAAAGATTACATCTCATTTTTTAAAATCAGCTCACTGTTGGAGATGGCAAATAGCAACCTAGGAAAAGAAGAAGTCATCAGTCTGGTCGAGTCGATGTGCAGTCAAAATGGTTTACAAGAACAATCTAGCTTCAACTTCGACGACTTTTGTCAAATTCTTTCTCCTCAGATGGACAAAATCTGGAATGGAGGATTAGAATGGAAAGGTATTTATTTATTGTTTCTATTGAAACTGCACTTGATACTTTTTCATATGTACTTTATACCTTAACCTCCAAACACAATGAAACAACATGTAGGAAATTAGTTTCGTGCTCTTTATCTATACTATCTGTAATGACACAAGAAACAATAAAAAGGGAGATAACCATGTGAGATTATTTTTTACATGGACAAAAACATTAATAATTTGATGATTTCTGTTTTCATCGAGTGTTAAACATAATGTCTAGCAAGAGTCAGAACCACTGATGTTTTACTGTGTTGTATGCTTTGGTGATGCATTGATTTCCTGAAAGATAGAAACATTGAAAAAATTAGTCTACCACAGTAGGTTTATGTTATTAAACTCCTGAGGCATCTATTAATCATTACTACTGTTGTATAAAATGAACTGATATTGTACCATTGTATAGGTCGTTCTTATGTACTCATTGTGTACAAATCTTGTAGATATTTCGTTAATTGAAAATACATGTCACTGGTGCCTTGTTCGCAGTGAATATCTTAGCAACTGCTCATTTGAAGTATGTAATGTTTTTTTGCAATATGTATTATATAACAACAAAAATAAGACATGTTCAACTGAATGATGTGTTAGAATTATACTAATAATTATCTGAAAAATAATGTATTGATATTATTTGGTGTAGGGAGAAAAAACTGTTACCCAACACCCCAGGATATCCGTAAAAGGTATGTCTCTGTTTGATGTTAGGAAGTTCCTAATTCTTTTACTATATATATCGTTGTAAATGTAAACTTCTTGATAACGAATATGGTATGGTAGAGTTTCCATTAAAAACTTTTCGCAATCGATTACATTCTGAAATATGGTAATACCTTATACGACCATAACAAGTTTGTGAAATAATAATTATAATGACAAAATATGACGCTACTGGTATAATACAAAGCTAATTTACGTTTAGCATGTGTACGATTGATTAAATAATTCTATGTAATGCTCTTTCTCGGACCACGACTAAGTGTATTACAAAGTACAATGCATGGTGTTTATGGTAATATCTAGCATGGATACGAGACGAAAATCAGCCATTGGTTTGGACACCCATCGGAGGAGCAGTGGCAGTATTGATGAGGGCTTAACAAAGAATTCCAGTAGCAACTCTCTTATAGCCAACTTTCCGACAGAACTCCGAACACGCTTCGAGGCCACCAGGGAAAAATACCATCCAGTTAAAGCTAGGATCAAGAACCTGAAACATTTTATAGAAAACAACAGGCAGAATATATTCTTTCTTGTATTGTTTTATGGTATATGCTGGGGACTATTTGCTGAAAGGTTTTATTGTAAGTATTTCTAGACGTTGATTTAAATTAGTATTGTTAACAAACAATGGAAGCAAACAAGAACCTTGCTTAAATAAAAAGAACTGTAATATTTTCATGCGTTTAGAAATATTATCTGTCATTTTCGATAGGCGTGTCTTTATGAGTCGCAGTGAAAGGGAAACAACTCAGGCATTGGATGTGCTTACATTCAGTTAATTTCATATTTAATAAAAATGAAGAATATAATCATAAACAGCAATTATATATCGATTTACAATAATATACAAACAATGCGGCAAAGAAAACTCGATTCCATTACTTGTATGAAAGTTGACAGTTCTTCGTGTTTAAACAGCATCGCCTATTCAGGCATTTTCAACTATATTACTGTATGGTAATATTTGTCTTGATTTGATTCAACTTACCGATACATTCAACTTTAGAAAGCTGAATTTGCCTCTTTTATATAAAATGTCCATGTGTATACTTCTTTAAGTAATACCAATTCTTATTTCCTTTATACCTGAGGTTTACTGTCTTGCCATACTTTACCAGAAACTTTGTGTGAAAAAATTATTATTAAATAAAGATATACAGTTTTTTTGTTCACATTGTAGACTACACCGTTGAACGTGAACATAGTGGTTTGAGAGCCCTGATGAGTTATGGAATCAGCGTTACAAGAGGAGCAGCAGCAGGGATGTCCTTTACGTTTAGTCTGTTGCTATTGACCATGTGTCGAAACATGATCACGTGGCTACGCGGAACTTTCCTCAATTTGTATGTTCCTTTTGACTCGCACGTGGCTTTCCACAAAGTCGTGGCATGGACAGCACTGTTCTTCACGGGTGAGGTTTTCCTCTGATTGCGTGTGTTACTTCGTTGTATCTTTACATTTTCAAAAAAAGACGTCGTTTCAATCAAAATCTTGAACTCTTTACAGGCACAGAAAAGGGCAATCTTTTCAGCTATATCGGTTAAGGAACAATTTCATATCATTTAACTAATATTTTGTTCTTGGCGCCAAGAGGTCAGTAAAGTCTGTAGAGGTCTCTTGTCTTTCTGTACGTTAGTAAAACATTTATCAACGCTGTTCAATCGATGTGATTACAAAAATAATTGGAAGTGTAAAACTTTGTCTTATTAGCTCGAATTTAACTAACAAGATACTGTACTGCATGTTTTAAAGGCCTCCATGTATTGGGCTACAGCTTCAATTTCTACCATCTTGCCACACAACCGACCGGACATCTGTGTATCTTTGATTCCATCGTCCTCAGGTAAGGGAGATGACCTTTAATGGGATGATATGAGAAGAAAAGGGAATAATAAACATATACTTATTTGGTTTATCCTAGCCGTACATTCTAAGTTCTTATTCTTATCGTGCCTATTTTTGATTGTTTGTAGATGCTTGTTGATTTCGATTTCGCAAAGTTGCTGGTGTTGTGCAGTTAAAGGCTTGGCTTTATATGAACAATTTCATTATATACATATCATTACATTCAGTTGTAAATATCTAATAACATATAACATTTTCTTTACAGAGCAGATACCCAGTTGGGTTTCGTATTCTGGATGTTCGGAAATATGACAGGTAAATTATTATTGTGATTGTTTACGAAATCGAGTTTGTAATAAACGCAAATCTCTCCTTTGGGCAAAAAATTTGGATTTTGCTCGCTCGTATTGTCTTTTTCCAAAATAAAAAATAAATATAAATACTTTGATATCTTTATATTTTCTTATCTTCCTGCTTCCATTTTTCTCTTACAAACGCGGCCTTTTATAACATATGATATTCGAAACGAAATGATGGTTTTCTTTAGAAGCATCAATGGGCTATACCCGAAAACCGAGACCGAATTTAAAAACAAATTATTTTATAACTCATAATTGGTAGGTCAACACTTTGTGAAAATTTTGCAACCAGCATTTAAGTTTACAAGATTTCGGTTATATATTCTTAATATCCATTACTTTATCACGAACTTATTTAAAATAAAATCATCAACGTCAAAATGTTTTTCTTGCAGGTTTTACTGGAGTATTACTAGTCATTCTCATTTGTATCATATACGTGTTTGCGACACAAACAGCCAGAAAACTTATATTCAACGGATTCTGGTTGACCCACAAGTTAATCGCTTTACTGTATATCCTGACTATCATTCACGGTTCATCCCTCATCGTCCAAAAACCTCTCTTCTATGTGTATTTCGTCTTACCTGCCATCTTGTTTACAATCGATAAAGTCGTCAGTCTGAGTCGAAAGAAGACAGAGATAACTGTAATGAAGGCCGAGAAACTTGATTCAGGTTGGTTGACGTTTATCACTATATCTTTAATATTGATTTGATAAAAATCAGTTGATCCACAGATACATTAAGTTTGTCACAAAACGTAAAGTAAGGCAGGGACTAAATCACAGGCATTATTTTGATACCATGTGGCCAAAAATGATACTTAGGTTTAATAACATACAAGCAGGTGTATAAGGCAGGGATTGAAACTGGTGCTTTAAAATACGCATCTAGTATTTGAAAATAATTGGTTAATCTTGTGAAAATTTATGCAAACTGGTTAAATTCATTCAACTGATTTTGAAAAAAAATACTACCTTATTCTTCATTGGTTAAGAATTATTACCATCGCTTATATTTTGTTACTGCAACAAGGTTAACGACAAAATGACATACAATTCTAATGATTTCTTTCACCGTAGATATTACCTACCTGGAATTCAAGCGACCGTCTAAGTTTGAGTACAAGTCAGGACAATGGGTAAAGATTGCTTGTCTGTCACAAGGCAGAAACGAGTATCACCCCTTTACACTGACCTCAGCTCCACATGAGGATACCCTTTCCCTACACATTAGGGCACTGGGACCCTGGACATGGAATGTACGGCAGACATTTGATCCAGAGAATCTCAAAGACGGTCCTTATCCGAAGGTAAGATATTTGTTGGTGTAATTTTCTCAATGATTTCAAGAATATCCTCCATGTATTAAATATGCTATTTCTGGTGTAATTATATTATCATTGTGCCAGATGGAATCATGCGAAATACAATTGCATGTTTATTTTTCAGAAATATTGAGTAATTTTTGGTTTGATTTTTATTTATCTAATTTATTTATTTATCTATGTTTTAAATAGTTAAGTACGTGTTACTCTTATTTGTTATATTTAGGTAAAATGATTTCGGATGTAATCAGTCTGTTAAAAATTGGTTGTTTGTGTTTCAGCTGTACCTTGACGGGCCGTACGGGGCGGGCCAACAGGACTGGTACCAGTATGACGTGTCTGTACTCGTTGGGGCAGGAATTGGCGTCACGCCCTATGCCTCTATCCTCAAAGACTTTGTACACATGGCTATGATGAGGAACACCTACAGAATGAAATGCCAGAAGGTAGAATATCAATATTCTGTGTGAATATGAACATGTTAATACACTTTCTGCAAATAATATAAGCAATTCATGGTCTCTGACACAAGTATGATTCAACGGTAATTAATACCTATTTATGTTTATTTACGAAAGCATTATGTACCATATATATCGTTAGATAAAAAGACAGGCTTAGTCGTCTAGTAACGGTATCGACGTGTCCAGATTCTTTATATTACAGATTATATCGCTGGTAGTACACGTGTCTTATTTTTTCGTGGATAATTTTTTTACTGTCAATCTAATGTCCCTTGAAACAGCGAAAATATAATTCCCGCGAGAATAACCTAATACAAACAAACGTACTATATTCTCTTTATTCTTTTCTTACTTTTCATCTCTTTATTTTTTATAAGACAACGGATTATCATTGCACTGAGTTTAGCCTCTATTTAGATCTGTAAACTGATCTGTACCTGAATCAGTTCTTCAATCGTAACTGATTTCTAATGTATAATAGATACACCGTTGTGTGAGTAGTTTATGGATGATGTTGTCAATGAAGAAGACGCTTACTCATCCTTAACAGCTGGTCTTATTTTCTTAGTACTTTTTCATGAGACTTCCTGTAAATCTTTCTTTTGTTCATATTTGGCCCTAGTTTTATTGAACATGAGCTTGGATTGTGATCATTTTGACATTTAAGTACTTTCTTGGTATTTTTTTTTACTAGATAATGCTTTACTTAATCTTAAAGACATTGATGTCTATCGCGATGGTGATTAATTCCATGATTCTATATGATATGCCATGGGTTATCTTTACAGTACTTAATTACATGTATATAGTTTACCAAGTGTGATCAGCATTGTATTGATACTTGTTCTCTGTAACATAGCTTTACTTTGTGTGGATAACTGCAAGCCAGCGACATTTCGAGTGGCTCCTTGACATAATTCGAGAAGTGGAAGCGATTGACAAGAAAGGCATTGTTTCCATAGATATATTTATCACCAAATTCTTCCAGAACTTTGATCTCAGGACGTCCATGCTGGTAAGTTTGTTTTATTTTAAAAATAAATCGTGACTTCCTTATCCGACCTGTGTAGTGTTAAAAACTTTACAAACTAAAATTGTTCTTCTTTAAAATGCATGAAAATCTATGTTTTGTTTAATAGGGCTGTACAAAAGACGCACACGAGGTAAGTCTATTTCAATAAAAAAACCCATAACATTTCATGATATCTTTTCAGTACATTTGCGAAGAACATTTCCAAAAGTTGTCTGGGGGCTGCAGTGTTTTTACCGGACTGAAGGCTAACACTCATTTTGGAAGACCCAAGTTGAACGAGATGTTTGAAGCTGTACAAAAAGCTCATCCCTTGGTAGGTCACTTCCCTGTAATATTGAAATGCTTCTTTTAGTTATTGTTGAAACTGTAAAACAAACTGAGGAAGTGTATGGTTTTCTAAGCTATGGCGTGTAAAGGTTATACTGTAGGATTGTTCAAATTTTCTCAGTTTAATCAGAAGCTTAAGTGAAAGGATGTATTTTTCATGTTAATCATGAAACAGACTAGAGTTTTCTCAGTATATTTATTTTTCTGTTTATCTATGTATTGCAACTCTAATCCATCCTCGAATATAGTGAAAAAATATATCACCACGGAAATAACATATTTTTTACATTATATGTATACATAAAGCAATCTCGGGTACAATTACAACAGGTAATTCAAATATGGAACCTTCGGGTCAACAACATCAAGTTGTATTGTACATTGTGTTAATTCATTGATATTTTGGACATTGTCACACAATTGACGAAGGAAGACAACTTATATATAAGAGTAGAATTGCATCACGCACCTGTGTTGTCCTTCTGGAACTATGCATTGATGATTGTGTCCTAAAGTGTTTAATCTAGAAGGCGAAAGATGAAATACCGACTGGGAAGTGTACTTATTTAATCATTTAACTTTAGCTTACTTCAGCTAGTATCATTTAGTTATATATAAAAGAAAATTGATTATTGTACCACTATTTAAATAAATTCATATGTTATACGCGTGATTAAACAAAACTAATCCCAAACATGAGGAACAAAGTTACCACTTAATTCATATGTTTTCTTTTTATGTGGGGTGTTAGGTTACATAATTTTTTCTCACATTTGATATACTGTTAAAGTCCTACAGCTATAAAGTGTTAGTAGCTACATGAAAAATGTTATTTGACTTATTGAAACGTACATCGACTTCATTAATGGCTCACAACAATTGTCCTTTTGACACAGGTCCGGAAGGTGGGTGTATTTAGCTGTGGGCCACCAGGTGTAACGAAGAGTGTAGAACAAGGTTGTATTGAGGCCAGCAACGGAACAAAAGCCCAGTTTGAACATCATTTCGAGAACTTTTAAAGGACATAAATTCCAAATGATATTGTCTACTGATAAATTGAGTACGAACAAATGTCACGAAGACAAAAAGACGTGGTGAAGGAAGGCAAATCGAAAAATCAAAACTATAAAATGATCAGTGTATATTAAACGTATTACTCAAAACATGGTCAGCATGTGTGGAGTTAACTAGATGTATGTTAATATTTGTAACAAATAATTCATTTAAAAAGAAAATATTTTTCAAAAATCGACAAGTGAAAATTCAGCAATAAAATTTAATGTCAATTCACAGTAACTAAGGAAATTATTAACACAATTTAATATGAGAACATTCCTGATATGGCTACAGGGTATCTTTTTTATTCTTATGATACTGTAGATCATGGAATTATCATTGAGTTACTGGTATGATTTAAGTTTATGAGAATAACTTATTGGAGTTTTAGCATTTGATCGATTAAATGGCATTTCTGTTTTCTATAATTACTGTGAAAAGTGTGTGTATATGGTCGAGTGTGAATGCACACGTGTTTAGTCGTATGTAACTAACAAGTGCTACTGAATCTCCATCCTACCTCTTCATTTCGTGTGTACATCGTACTGTGTCATCGTTACTACAAACAGAATTGATCACTTGTATCCAAGTAAAGTAGCACGTATATGTAAAGTCTGGCTTGGTCCAGTTACATCACGTGTAATGTATGCAGAAAGTAGCACGTATGTGTAAAGTCTGGCTTGGTCCAGTTACATCATGTGTAATGTATGCAGAAAGTAGCACGTATGTGTAAAGTCTGGCTTGGTCCAGTTACATCATGTGTAATGTATGCAGAAAGTAGCACGTATATGTAAAGTCTGGCTTGGTCCAGTTACATCATGTGTAATGTATGCAGAAAGTAGCACGTATGTGTAAAGTCTGGCTTGGTCCAGTTACATCATGTGTAATGTATGCAGAAAGTAGCACGTATGTGTAAAGTCTGGCTTGGTCCAGTTACATCATGTGTAATGTATGCAGAAAGTAGCACGTATATGTAAAGTCTGGCATGCTCCAGTTACATCATGTGTAATGTATGCAGAAAGTAGCACGTATATGTAAAGTCTGGCATGCTCCAGTTACATCATGTGTAATGTATGCAGAAAGTAGCACGTATGTGTAAAGTCTGGCATGCTCCAGTTACATCATGTGTACTGTATGCAGAAAGTAGCACGTATATGTAAAGTCTGGCATGCTCCAGTTACATCATGTGTAATGTATGCAGAAAGTAGCACGTATATGTAAAGTCTGGCATGCTCCAGTTACATCATGTGTAATGTATGCAGAAAGTAGCACGTATATGTAAAGTCTGGCATGCTCCAGTTACATCATGTGTAATGTATGCAGAAAGTAGCACGTATATGTAAAGTCTGGCATGCTCCAGTTACATCATGTGTAATGTATGCAGAAAGTAGCACGTATATGTAAAGTCTGGCATGCTCCAGTTACATCATGTGTAATGTATGCAGAAAGTAGCACGTATATGTAAAGTCTGGCATGCTCCAGTTACATCATGTGTAATGTATGCAGAAAGTAGCACGTATGTGGCGCTTTTTGATATATTTTATCTGTGTTTAGAATATGGTGTGTAACAAGCTTCTATATGTTTGCCAGATCTTAAATATTCAAAATTCTGTAAAATTTGAAATCCTTGGTATCATTCTCCCTGATTTATGTTTGTGATATAATTACTTCAAATAATAACGATTATTTCATCGGGACTAATACCATGTAAGTATCTGGATCGTTGTTATTTTATTTTCTATCTGAATTTTCATTTAATGATAATTTATACCACTGTTGAAGATAATACGGCATGTCCCGGTGTACTTGTAGATATACAATTCCCACTTGATTAAATGTAGTTTTTAGTATATCATTAATCAGATGAATATTGACTACCTACAATGTCTTTCTATATCGAGTTGTGAGTGTACCTTCACGGAAAAATTGGTAAGACCACTGGTACAAGACTAGGGGCACTGTCGCGGGTAAAGTGTAGGGGCTCTACCAGTAAAAGTGCAGGGGTATATATGTAAAGGTACAGAGGCACATACAGGTGTAGGGAGCAAGATGAATTCAACACTATAGTAAGTAAATCTCCTAAATAACAGGTATTACGTAATAGGTTTCGTCTAGTTACAGAAATATGGAAAGAATGTTTGTTGTTAAAATTTCTTCATGTACCAAGCTAGTACTAAAACCATCACATAAATGTTGGACAGTCACTGTAACCTCCTCTAGGTTAAGAATGTAGGATATGTTGTAATGCAGCCCCGATTTTATAAATGTTGGACAGACACTGTAACCTCCTCTAGGTTAAGAATCTAGAATCTGCTGTAATGCAGCCCCGATTTTATAAATGTTGGACAGACACTGTAAACTCCTCTAGACTAAGAATCTAGAATCTGCTGTAATGCAGCCCCGATTTTATAAATGTTGGACAGACACTGTAAGCTCCTCTAGGTTAAGAATCTAGAATCTGCTGTAATGCAGCCCCGATTTTATAAATGTTGGACAGACACTGTAAGCTCCTCTAGGTTAAGAATCTAGAATCTGCTGTAATGCAGCCCCGATTTTATAAATGTTGGACAGATACTGTAACCTCCTCTAGGTTAAGAATCTAGAATCTGCTGTAATGCAGCCCCGATTTTATAAATGTTGGACAGACACTGTAAGCTCCTCTAGGTTAAGAATCTAGAATCTGCTGTAATGCAGCCCCGATTTTATAAATGTTGGACAGATACTGTAACCTCCTCTAGGTTAAGAATCTAGAATCTGCTGTAATGCAGCCCCGATTTTATAAATGTTGGACAGACACTGTAAGCTCCTCTAGGTTAAGAATCTAGAATCTGCTGTAATGCAGCCCCGATTTTATAAATGTTGGACAGACACTGTAAACTCCTCTAGACTAAGAATCTAGAATCTGCTGTAATGCAACCCCGATTTTATAAATGTTGGACAGCCACTGTAAGCTCCTCTAGACTAAGAACGTAGAATCTGCTGTAATGCAGCCCCGATTTTATAAATGTTGGACAGATACTGTAACCTCCTCTAGGTTAAGAATCTAGAATCTGCTGTAATGCAGCCCCGATTTTATAAATGTTGGACAGACACTGTAACCTCCTCTAGGTTAAGAATCTAGAATCTGCTGTAATGCAGCCCCGATTTTATAAATGTTGGACAGATACTGTAACCTCCTCTAGGTTAAGAATCTATAATCTGTTGTAATGCAGCCCCGGTTTTATAAATGTTGGACAGTCACTGTAAACTCCTCTAGACTAAGAATCTAGAATCTGCTGTAATGCAGCCCCGATTTTATAAATGTTGGACAGACACTGTAAACTCCTCTAGACTAAGAATCTAGAATCTGCTGTAATGCAGCCCCGATTTTATAAATGTTAGACAGATACTGTAACCTCCTCTAGGTTAAGAATCTAGAATCTGCTGTAATGCAGCCCCGATTTTATAAATGTTGGACAGACACTGTAAACTCCTCTAGACTAAGAATCTAGAATCTGCTGTAATGCAGCCCCGATTTTATAAATGTTGGACAGTCACTGTAAACTCCTCTAGACTAAGAATCTAGAATCTGCTGTAATGCAGCCCCGATTTTATAAATGTTGGACAGTCACTGTAAACTCCTCTAGACTTAGAACGAAGAATCTGCTGTAATGCAATCCCGATTTTATACAACTTTTCTCCTTCTGTTTCAGACAGATGATTTTACCATAAATATTTGTAATGAAATAATCATAATATTAATTTCAGTTCATATTTAATTTGTTTGTGATACTAAGGTCCGGTTTTGCAAGTGCTGCTAGGGGAGATGTAGCAACATATACGTGTGCTGAAATTATGAATAGGAGTATGTATTGCTTCTGTATAATTACTTGGTAGATAAATATTCCGAAGCTGCCCTGCACCAAGACTGAATCCGGATAATTGAGGTCGGGGTGAAGGAATGTATCCTCACTATGACACTAGTGTTGTATATGTCCATGTTAATATCTATAAGTTATTATCATTGTTGTTAAAATGTGCCTTATTAGTTCATTTATATATACGTAGGTGTGAGAATATGATGTCTGACATCACTTGTTATGTGGTTATGGGGTTAAACCATTATCCTTGATTTTGTAGATTGAAGAAAAATAAAGTAAAACGATTATAAAAACATGCATGAATGGTTGTTTACTTTAAAATGTCTCAGTTTTACAAAACTGGTTTTCGAAGAGTCATTGTCATGAATTCACATATATAAATTTAATTAGGGAAATTGAATATGTATGCATGCCCATGAAAGTGTAGAATAGATCGTACTGGTTATGTACAGTAACAATATATTAATATATATATATATATAATTCTGATTTTTATAATGTAAACTCGAAAAACAAATGTGGATAATATAAGATGAGGAAACACTAAAAATGTGGGACATATAAGCTAGAGAAATAAGCGGTATTTCCAAAATAGAATACAAGAAATTGGGAGATAGGAAAACAGAAAATATGAACTATAGAGACAAAAAATGTGATAGGGAGATATTAAAAAGGAACAAAAAAAACCCCATGAAATATAGAGACATCAGAATAGAAAAACACGTGTAAAATAAAGAAACATTAAAATAGAAAACCATGTGAAATATAGAGACATTAAAATAGAAACAAAGGAAATATGAAATAGATACAATAAAACAGAAAAAAAAAGGAAATGTGAGATAGATACAATAAAACAGAAAAAAAAAAGGAAATGTGAGATAGATACAATAAAACAGAAAAAAAGGAAATGTAAAATAGATACAATAAAACAGAAAAAAAGGAAATGTAAAATAGATACAATAAAACAGAAAAAAAAGAAAATGTGACGAGAAATCGAGTAAAAACCAAATACCGATAGATAAAAAGAGAAATTTAAAAAAATGAAGACAAAATATTCAGAACTACCAAGAAAAAGGCAATTTACATAATAAAAAAAGACATTGGTAGACATAAAAATAGGAGACGAAATATACAATAGGCATACAACAAAAGAAACCATGTGAAATAGGAGAACAAAAAACGCAAACAAAAAGTAAAAAATAAGCTGCTATAGAGAATTGACTAAAACAATGTTCAGTGATAGAGAGTTTATCAATAACGGACGCAACATAACCGAGAAGCCGATATAAAACTTGAAACAAAAATAATAGGAATTAGATATCAAAACAAAACTGGACACCCAAGGAAGAAAGACTGAAACTGGGACGCACCAATAGAAAAGAACAACGAAACAAAACGGAACGCATCAGTAGGAAATCAATTTGAAATAAAACGACACTAAGAGGAACCAAGATTGAAACAAAACAACACACATCAATAAAAAAGATTAACGAAATGAAACGGAACGCATCAGGAGGAAAGTAGACTGGCCAAATGGATACCAAGTGCAAACTTATGAAAAAATAATGATCTTTAGTTGAGAAGCCACGGAAAATATGTGGACTCAGGAGACGATCAAACGAAATGGGGGTACATGCCAAATGAGATAGGTAGGTAATGATTAGAGAATACTTGAACATTGTACATTAACAATAAAAGTAAAACGAATTAGAGTGTTGCAAGTTAGATCAAATGAACTGTACATTTACGGACTAGAATAAACAAAAAAGGAAGTCAAACAAATAATGACAATATCAGTAATAGAGAAATGACGCACAGATAGCTAGATAATCTAAATTGTCCTATAACAAAACCGCTCCATAATATACATATATTATAACACGATTTTTCAAAACATCTACGCATCCCTCATCGTCGGAAACCCACAAGACAGAGCAGAGTATCGTGGGTTTTCGACGACTCGCCTCCTTCTATGTTTAGTGCAGTCGATGTGTCTTAAAAACCGCACCGCATTCAGGAAAGCACGGTAATCTAGGAGGAGTTAGCTCCCATGGCAAGATTAAATCAAAAAGTGTAGCACCCGAAAAAATATTATATTTGAGACATTTCTTCAAATTCATTTAATTCAACATACACATCTTCAAGTCTTATCAGCACTTGCAGAATGGTGTAATTTAAACCAACTGTATATAGTTATCAATATATTCTACATCTGATACAACACAGGTTGTCTATTATTTGATTTCAGTCTTAATAATTGTAGGTTAATCAAAGGTCGATAATCAACACGAGGAAGGAGAACGCTATTATTTAGCCTCGTCATCATTAATTGGTCACATTTTTCATGTAATTACAATATAGGAGATATATATATATATATCGAAGACATACGGATATATATGTTATATCATACGTCTCTATATCTCTGGTAAATGATACTTATTTCATTACAAGGAGCGGAAATCAAATTCGATCAAACTTTAAGGCAAGTATTTCTATTTAAAAGATTAGAAAAAAAGTTTTACAAATAAATTAAGATTATCTCTTGGCCGATGCAGGAGTCGAATTCAAAAGGCTACGTTTACAAACGTGTACAAGTGTCCCTTTGAAAGCATCAAGCTTCTTAAAATCTTCATGTAGACTTAAAAAGGAGTTCTTAATAATTGTAGGTTAATCAAAGGTCGATAATCAACACGAGGAAGGAGAACGCTATTATTTAGCCTCGTCATCATTAATTGGTCACATTTTTCATGTAATTACAATATAGGAGATATATATATATATATATCGAAGACATACGGATATATATGTTATATCATACGTCTCTATATCTCTGGTAAATGATACTTATTTCATTACAAGGAGCGGAAATCAAATTCGATCAAACTTTAAGGCAAGTATTTCTATTTAAAAGATTAGAAAAAAAGTTTTACAAATAAATTAAGATTATCTCTTGGCCGATGCAGGAGTCGAATTCAAAAGGCTACGTTTACAAACGTGTACAAGTGTCCCTTTGAAAGCATCAAGCTTCTTAAAATCTTCATGTAGACTTAAAAAGGAGTTCTTAATAATTGTAGGTTAATCAAAGGTCGATAATCAACACGAGGAAGGAGAACGCTATTATTTAGCCTCGTCATCATTAATTGGTCACATTTTTCATGTAATTACAATATAGGAGATATATATATATATATATATCGAAGACATACGGATATATATGTTATATCATACGTCTCTATATCTCTGGTAAATGATACTTATTTCATTACAAGGAGCGGAAATCAAATTCGATCAAACTTTAAGGCAAGTATTTCTATTTAAAAGATTAGAAAAAAAGTTTTACAAATAAATTAAGATTATCTCTTGGCCGATGCAGGAGTCGAATTCAAAAGGCTACGTTTACAAACGTGTACAAGTGTCCCTTTGAAAGCATCAAGCTTCTTAAAATCTTCATGTAGACTTAAAAAGGAGTTCGCCAGATCAACCTGTCACGGTACCATGAATTGTTTTAATCTTGCAAATGTATGCGAAACCCACATGATATTTCTTTACTTTTGGTCAATATTTGAAGTTTCGAAATATTTCTTTGAAACATATTCGAAATAACATTCAACAAAACACAGAACACCGTCTTTATGATATATCTATATTTATATACAGCAGAAATGATTATCAGTGTCTTTTTTTAAAGATCATGTCATCCTTGATTGTACAACTGAATCACACATGTATATTTGTTCGATGTCAGAAATTACAAACAAAACATTCCTGTCTACAATTTATACTCCTAATATCTCGTGCATTTAGTTTAATCCAATAATGTTCAAATGTTCAATGACTGGGTCACGCTGCGGAATAACACCAGACAGGAAAAAAAATTCCATGGGTGATCACGTGACTGCTTTTTCTACGTGACGTCACGTTCTAGAACTCCGTCTGTATCGAGAATGACTTAGGACTAGGTCCAACGTGTTGTATTTCTATTCCCGGAGAAAGCATGGCAGCAAAAATGAAGACTTTGAAAAATATTACAAGGACTAAAAAATACCTTGATTTGTATTCGACATACACTCCACAGCCAGTGTCTATGAAATTATTCGTAGATTTCGGTAAGTAAAACTGATGTTTACAAACGTAATCGTGCTTGCGTGACTTGGTTTATATCCATAATGGAAACCTAACGACAAAACGCATCAGATCGGGATTAATATATTGTAAATAATGCAACTTTCATAACTGAACACACAAGACGGGTTTTTGTTTTGGTAAAAATGTGTCCGTAAACCTCGAATTCCTAATTCGTGTTTCGTTTGAAAATCGTATATTTTTCCATTGGGGGTGTGTCTATTCATAATGTTTTCATTGGCTTTCGTCAAAATCAAAAATAGTTCAACAGAATACCACCTTTTCAAATAATTCAAATCTTCTCGGAATTATCATAATTTCTTTGCAAGAAGATCCAAAGTGTGTTATGATATGAAGATTGTGAATTGCAACTTTTGTTTCGTGGATATTGGCTTGTTGTGATGATTTTGAGGGGGTCTTTTTTGTGAGGGTAGTTTGTTGCATAGACACACAAAACATTAGCTATCGGTGCAAAGTCGTGATCTTGATGAACAAAATGGACTGAAAATGGATGTTTTGATGTTTACAGGTTAAAGAATGATACTCATTGATTTATAGAGTTTCAAGTATCGGTTATGGTAATTCAATTTGAACTAGCAGTTGAGATTGAAACTAACGTTATGATGTAATCTTCCAAGTGGTCAAGAATAACATAGGAAGGAAACAAAGTGATATTTGGATAAATGACGTCATTGAAACAAATAACGTATATTATCTGATAGGCCCGAATATATGTGTCAAGTTTTTTTTTCCAAAATGCGCATTACAAGAAGATATTTTGGGGTTTACAAAGGGGCTTTTGACAAATATGCATCGTTTAGCCCATCGCCGATGTCACTGAAAAAATTGTTGGAGTTCGGTAAGTTTATAATTGATTCTACTTTGCAGTTGTGTTATACATGCATTAGTATGATTAATTATAATATGCATCTTCCATTTCTACTGATAGAGTATGAACTGGTTGCCTTGTACGTTTCCTGATATGGCATATATTGTTATCGGTTGTAAATATTAAACAAAATTAGATGCATGCTGTTAGACCAACATGGAAAAAACCTGCAAAGTACCTGAGTTGGCTAGCAAAAAGTATCAGTTAAAGGCAAATTCAAACAGCTGAATATTCATGTAAGACTGTGATCTAGACATGCACTCTATTTTTTGCACTACTTCCTCTTTCACTTATTTGTCTTTGCCCCCTCCTCCACCAAATTTGCTTCCAGACAAAAGCATCCAGGCCAATCAGTTCACAAAAATATCCGTACTTTCTTTTCCTCATAGATAACACTTGAAGTAGTCAATGGTAAATGACACAAAATATGTAATAGTATGGGAGTATATGTAAAATGACTTGTGCTTCTATTATATTCAATTCATATGCCTAGTTTAAAGTGCTGAACAAATCAGACTTCAGCTTTATCCCTACTTGCTTTCTACTAGGCTCCCCAAGAAAGACACTTTCCTGTCAAGTGCTGTGACAGACTGTATGTACAGTGTATACCACAGCTGACTGTCTCTTTTACACTGACTAGTATTCCCTCTGATTTCTTGAGATTGCCCAAATCTCATCCCAAGACTCTTAATTCAACAGCCTATGGAATTTTGTTGCATGTCAAATAAGCAAGCTTCAACATAACAGCCAAGGCCATATGCAACTTCATGGCAGAATCATTTTTTGGTCATTTTGGGATGTGGTATAGCTGCCATATTGAAAAATACATTTTGTGAACTTTCACTATAGCACATTTAAGTTGAAATTAATAAGGGATGTAGGAAAACTAAAATGATGTTTGTAACAAAAACTTTTACCCTTTGATAATTGGTCCCACTACCATTATTGCTATTATACCGTTGGTATGACTTTATTAAGGCTCAGAGGCCTCTTGTTAAATTTAATGCATTGTTGTAATTTTTAAATATAACATTATCACCAACTACTGAAGGGGGCATTGAAGATCACTAATTCCACCTGTTTTCACTATAATCATACCGCCATCATATCGTACTACATTCCACCTTGCAGGCAGTTCATATTACACTAGAAAAGTCATGTGATTATCATACCATCACACGCACTCATACACTGAATGCAAATTCAACTTTATTCTTCTATTTTCTTTTTAGATAAAGGTGACTGTGCAATATTTAAATGTCGTTTGTGATTTTCAAACTGGTTGCATAATGAAAACATAGTAATGGATGAGATACATCATATAAAAATGGGAAACTAGTCAGTCAGACCTTCAACATGCTAATAATAATACTTACATGTCATTTATTCAATATACATTATTTACTGGAAGAAAATGCTTGACTATAAGCGATATCAGGACAATTTAATTGTAATTGAAATCTCATTCTGAATGAAAGATACAGACAGCTTTTTCAGAGTATTAACATCACTATACATATCTGGTTTTGGTATGTATATGTACTGAAAGATCATAACTTGTAGCTCCAACACAAGTTTTACTTCATTCAACTTGCATGTACAAACAATACAGGGCTCTCACACCCCATTTTGGGACTGGGGCCCGGGGCCCTTAGAATTGGGAAAAATAATGGTGTTTTCCTTAGAATTGGGAAAATGTCGGGTCTAAATTGGGAAAAAAGATACTATTTTGCATTGGGAATAGGGCAGAATATCGGCCCCAAATCTGGCAGATCGAGAGCCCTGCAATATATTTGTACATCATAAGTTTGCATGCTGTAAATACATTTAAATTGTATATTTTTTTCATGATGACAACTAAATAATTGAGGTAAAGGCCCAGTCATATCAGCTTCAAGACAGGTCGATGTTAGTTCCAGGCCAGATACAGTCATCATTGCCAACCTGCATGCTACATGCATGATACCTGCATGGGAGTTGCCTGTAGTAGTATATAAATACAAGTGGAAGAGGTGGTGGGGAAGAAACATCCTCATTTCTTGGCCAGGTCATGTTAAGATGCCCTGCCAGTCAACCAAGCTGGGCACCAATGGCAGGAATATCTCATTGGTGTCTTCAGAGGGCTCCTACAAACTGCTGTACAGCCAGAACAACCAGAAGTGGTGGTTGACATCAATCATCCAAATGAGGCCCAGTGTGAGGAGGTCCTCTGTGCCACAGAGCAATGGACATCAAACAATCCTTTTGAGATGGAAGTCCTGGAGATAAGAGAATATGAGGAGTCAGAAGGGGCCTACAAGGTCTTCAAAACCAGACTGACTACTGAAGGAATTCTGATGTGACTGTTTATATTGAAAATTTCTCACAGAATGCCAGCAAGTTAGCTGTAGCTGACCCTCAGATTACTAAAAAAACAAGGCAGTAACTGGACCTCATTATGTCATCTCTTTCCTCCTATAACTCACTTCATGCCTCGTGCCTGCAGAAATGACAGGTCACATGGGAGTAGATAGTACCAACACCGTTCTTTGACATGCAGACTGCCTTGAAATGGCTTGCATTTGCGTGACATAGCCAGAGGTCCTCAACCAGCCTTCTTTCTCCGAGTGGGTTAACTGCCTTTGACTAGCATAAACTATGGGCCTCCTGCTTGTTTTCCTTGTGAACCTGTACCAGCAAACTCCCGCACTTGAGCAGTAACAAGTTTTGAGCATGTTCAAATCTTGGTTGTTGGCTTCTCATACTTCTTTGCATATCTGTGGGCAAGTCCAGGCAAGATTGATGCAAGATACTGGATGGTGTGGGTAATTTGTGGAGAGCTCTAGTTAGTGAAAATTGCCTCATATAAGTTGTATGCAAGGTTGGTGTGACTGGACCTTGAGACTTGGGTCTTAACAGATTACTGTTTCATTTGTAGTTGTGTATGAATTGATTGAGAAAAGAAAATAATACTTAAAAAAATCACTTATTTTTTAGGCAATGATAAAAATTTTGCATTTTGGTCTCTTTTTATCCTCACTGGATTGTTGATATAACAGACTACTGTTTGTATGAATATAAGAATAGAACAGGAAAATGTCACTTAAGGCTATGTATTGTTGATTACTGAATGAGATAAATGTACTTCTAGTTTGTTTTGTGAAATGTGTCCTTCTGTAGATCCTTGCAGCTCTGCATTAACATCTACAAATATAAAAATATCATCAATGGACAGCTGCTTCAAGCCTTAATACATCACAGATTTTAAATGACAGCTAGGCTGTATATTATTTTATATACAGCATTCATTGATGCAGTTTTATCAGCTTTCATAAAACTGCTTCTACACTTCATATGAACTGTATATTTAATATTATTTAGGCATTCAAAGGCATTAAAAAATATATGAAAAGGTATATCATATTAGTTGTATGTCATATAGAGAATCAATACCCCCCACCCAACAAAGTTGGCAGTAGATATTCAAATGGCTTCCATCTGCCTGTCCTTCTGTCTGTTCGGGTGTTTCTTTCTGCACGATACCTTTTGAAGGACTGGTCGGAATTTGATGAAATGGTTTTGGTATACTAGATACCTGAATCCCTTGGCCAGGTTTGACTAACAGCAGATTCTGCACACTTTTAATCAGGCTGCTGTGACCTGATTGACTGATTTCTTAAATCACTCTATAGGAAATTTTTCTCCCCAATATCTTATGAAGGAATGATAAGATTTTTAGGAAACTTGCTTTGTTGACTTATCACCCGAGTTTCTTGTTCAGGTTTAATTATTGGCAATTTCTGTGCATATTTTATGAGACTGCTGTGACATGATTGGCTGATATATTTTTCCAGTTTTCCATGTTGCTCACTTTAAATGTATATATTTTACAAATGAGCATGGGCGGGGGATCTTGATTACTATGTCACTGTTCATACTTGATTCTGCAAATTTGATCTTACCTGAATTTTAATACCCGACACATTGACTTGCACATGCATAACAGGAAGTAATGTCATTCCAGTCTTCTGCATTACCAATACAACATTTTAGTAGTAAAGTTTTCATGTACACATTTCAAACATGGATGATTGTCTGGTGATGAAATATAGGTATGAGAAAAACAGAAAAATGAGTGAGGTGTTTTACTAGAATCAGTCCATAGACAGAAGACATAATCTTTCGTATATCAAGGGGTACCTGGGCCACATCTTTGAACCCAGTTACTCCTTTAACCCAATCTGTGTCTAGGTACTGTTTTAAGAGCTCTAATAAAAACTCACATTCATTTTGGATATTTGAATAACACATATTAAGAATGATTTGAACCTTAGCTCAGTGAGGATATGTCCGGTCATAGGATATGCCTCCATTCTCCAAATTACAGGGGTAGATTATCACAACATCTATAAGCATCGGTCAGTTTTAGTGTTTTTGGAATCAGGAGCCATTCATATTGGAAACCCTAGTCAAAATACTCATTACAAGTTTATTATGGCAAACATAATCTCAAGTGAATAAAAAAACCATGTATAGTAGTTATGTACAATGTATGTCAAATAAATGCAAATTTGGCAAATGTCCGGTAAATATCTATATATTTGGAATGTTTCCAATATGAAACCGTATTGACATTTAAAAAAGAATAAACCTGTTTAATACATTCTGCAATAGAAGAAACAATATGTGTCCATTGAAACAACAGCTCTTGATTTGTAGTGACTTGTATATCTGTAGCTTGGATCAGCTCCACTTCAGTAACTTGTGACTGTGACGTTAGTATAATGATGATCATATTGTAATGTGTCATACATATAAACTGTCTCAGCCACGACATGGAAATGTTGGTAGTTGATGCAAGTTAAGTATAAAATCACCCTATATGTCTTGCCACAAGATGCATGTGCATTACATATATAGAACACAAAAACACCTAACACACAGCAGCAATGCTATATCCCTGTACAACTTGCTTCTAGAAGATAACAAGG